ATGTGAAAGAATAGCTTTATTTTTCCCTGGGACAATAAGCATAACAGGTTGTGTTTATATTATTAGTAATATTGTTATTATTTGTGCGGGAGTAGCTTTGACTTTCCTTGGAACAGAAAGCTTAACAGGTTGTGTTTACGTTGTTGCTGCTGCTGCTGTTGTTGTTATATCCACTTTTCCAGAGGATTGCTATCCCCACCAGCATCTCGGGATATTTCTTAATTCCTGCACATTCACACATTCTCCATCTTCTGCTTTGGTTTTTTTAAAAAGGTATAATTCCGAAACCAAGACGGTGAAGGTTGGGGATAAATCCGCCACACAGGTGAACTTTACTCTGAGCCCCAAAGACTCCAAGGCAGAGGAGGGAAAGGCACCAGATTTGAATGTGGCCGATGCCATGGACGATGTCCGGAAAGAATTTGAGACCCTGATCAAGGACCTCTCGGCCGAGGACGGCTTGGAGCGCCTGCTGCTCTCCTCCTCGGCCGATGTCCAGCCCTCGCGATTCCGCCTCTACGATGACCGCTCCATGTTCCTCCGGGGCCTCAACCTAAACTATCCACACATCACCAATCTCTCCAGGTGGGCTATTAGGCAGCACTGTTTGGAATATAGATTGCCTTACATTGCCTCCCTAATATTATCAACTCTGTAATGATAACAGTAACACCACTACTAATTATTGTAATTATTATTAGACAGGATTGTTTTCTAGCCTACCTTTTGATTCTTAGAAGAACTGTTCAGCAGGGAAACTCTCTGCCTCAGTGTGGTGGAGGCTGGATGGCCATCTGTTGGGAGGGCTTTGATTGTGCTTTTCCTTCCTGGCACAAGGGGGCTGAACTAGATATCCTTTTGGGGTCTCTTCCAACTTCAGTGGAATATAGACTGCTTGGAGCCTTTCTCTGGAGATATTTAAGTAGTGGCTGAATGGCCTTCTGTCAGGATGACTTCAACTGTGTTTTCTTACATTGCAGAAAAGGTTTGGCTGGCTGAATAGACAGATATATGCTCACAGATAGTTAGATAGATAAACAGAAAGAGAGAGAAAGATAAAGACATGAACGGCTGGATATAGATATATACACATAGATGGCTAGATATATCCAGATAGATGTATATATATGGATATATATACAGAGATGGATAGATATTTGTAAGATAGATAGATAGATAGATAGAGAGAGAGAGAGAGAGAGGTATTGTATCTATACAGACTGATGGATAGAGATATACAGATAGATGGATACATGAATTGATGGATTTAGATATATACACATATATGGTTAGATATAGACAGATATATACAGATGACTAAATTGATACTGATATATACACACAGATGGCTGGATATAATTATATACATAGATATATAGATATATATGGATGGATATATATGTGTGTGTGGATGGATAGATATAGATAAATATGATGTATACACTTTGATAGAGAGAGAGAGATAAACTTGGTGGATGGATGGGGAGGTAGATAAAGATTATATATGAGTGGATGGATAGAGATATATACACTTGGTAGGTGGAAGGATGGATGGGTGGTTAGATAGAGATATATACACATGGATGGATGAATTGATAGATAGAGACATATACACATGGATGGATAGATAGACACATGGATGGATGGTTGGATGGATGGATGGATAGAGATATATACGAATGGGTGGATGGATGGATGGATAGATAGATAGATAAGATAATATATATACACATGGATGGATGGAGGGAGGGAGGGAGGGAGGGAGGGAGGGAGGGAGGGAGGGAGGGATAGATAGATAGATAGATAGATAGATAGATAGATAGATAGATAGATAGATAGATAGATAGATAGAAGCATAGAAAGATAGAAGCATAGAAAGATAGAAAGGTAGGTGCAACTGAATAGGATGGATGGATGGATGGATGGATGGATGGATGGATGGAGAGAGAGAGAGAGAGAGAGAAGATATATACACATGGATGGATGGATGGATGGATGGATGGATGGATGGATGGATGGATGGATGGATGGATAGAAAGAAATATATACTCATGGATGGATAGACGGACAGACACATGGATGGGTGGGTGGGTGGGTGGGTGGGTAGATAGATAAATAGATAAATAGATAGATGAATAGTATTCTATGATTTCTTGGGGCCTGGTTCTGCTGGGTTTCTGAATTGCCTGACCCTCTGAAAGGTGGTACTCCGAGAATCAGAGTTGGGTCCATTTTTCCCGCTAGTATCAGATTCTTCTTCCTTTGTTGAGAAAGTCCCCTGGCCGCAGAAGCAGCCTCACTCTCTTCTGGGTGTTTTGTTTGTTTGCCTCTCTGCAATAGCTTGGGCCAGAGCCGTGAATACCGCTACATTTCCTCCCTGGAGATCTCCGACCGGCCCAACCGCTCGGAGCCAGAGGAGCCCAAGATCCGCTTTGTAGCCGGCCTCCACGGCAACGCCCCGGTGGGCACTGAGCTGCTCTTGGCCCTGGCCGAGTTCCTCTGCATGAACTACAAGAAGAATGCCGCCATCACAAAGGTAAGGTGTTGTTCAGCCGAGGAACTCTTTGCCTCAGAGTCTGGTGGAAGCTCCTTCTTTGCTTTGAAACAGAAGTTGGATGACCATCTATCAGGGGTGCTTTGATTGTGCTTTTCCTGCCTGGCCATTAGGTGGCCATTAGAGGTCCCTTCTATGACGCTCCCTGTGTCTCCTTTGCAGCTGATTGACAACACCCGGATTGTGATTGTGCCCTCCCTGAACCCCGACGGGCGAGAGGTTGCCCGGGAAGGAGACTGCACCTCCAAGATGGGACTGGCCAACGCCAACGGCAAAGACCTGGATACGGATTTCACAAGTAAAAGCCCCCGAGTCCTCTATTTTGTTCTTTTCCTGTGAGCATGGAGAGAGGCAAGGTGTCTCCCGAGAGATACCACATTTCCCTGAAAACAAGACCGGTTCTTATATTAATACTAATTTATGCAATGCTTTTGATATGAAATAATAATAATATTTGGTATCGGCCACTGATTGAGATTCAGAGTTTTCGCCTGCCACTTTTGGACTCTCGCTTGCTGAAGTGTTCCTGCAAGTGTCTCTTAGGAAGCTGTTTCTTGATTTAAGGCATTGGCATCCTGGCTGATACCCAAATAGAGGATGGGCCAGAGCCATATTGGGTATGCATACCAAGTTTGGTCCCGATCCCTCATTGTTTGAGTTCATAGTGCACTTTGGATGTAGGTGAACTACAACTCCTATAGATCCCCTCCAAAGACCTCCAGTATGTTTTGCTGGTCTTGGGGCTTCTAAGTTAGTTCCAGGTCCATCATTTGTGGAGTTCAGAGTGCAGCTCTTAGATTGCAGGCGGACTATACATCCCAGGACCTACAACTCCTATAAATCAGGGTGAATTCTCCCCAAACCTCTCTCGTATGTTCGGTTGCTGATCAATTCCTCTATTTTCTGTGTGCCATAGAAAAAAATATGGAATTATCCAGCTCGATTTTAGTTCATTCGATCCCAGTTTATTCTGGTGTGTTTCCTGTAAGAAGATAACATCCGCTGCATCTTTCTTCAGGAGGGTTTCAATATATAGGGCAGGAATCATATCTTTGGTTAATAGAGCCTTCTTCTCTCTCATGATCTCACATGTGTATCTTTTCCTGTATTTAGGCAACTCTTCTGCGGCCCGAGAACCGGAAACCAAAGCCATCATGGAGAATCTGATCCTGAAGGGGGATTTCAGCCTCTCAGTCGCCTTGGACGGTGGCTCGCTGCTTGCCACGTACCCTTACGACAAACCTGTGCAGACAGGTAGGACAACGCTCACCTTAGAACAGGCGATATATCTATAACCGATGTATCTATAAGTGAAGGCATTAGGCTTGGTTGATCAAAAAAAATGGTTCAAAACTCGTTTCGGATGTAGGGTGGTTCAGTTCTAAAGTCAATTCCGATTTTCACAGAAACTTTTCAAAACTTCCAAATCCTTTCGTTAATGGTTTGAAAGTGTTATTTCCTGTTTTATTGGGTAGTCTTTACTTTGAAAGTAGTTGTTTTACTCCAGAAGTGGGCAAAAGCAAGTGGAGGAAATTCCTTCCTTCTCTGGTTTAAAACTGGCTTCTCTGGCTTGAGCGAGGCCAGGAAATTCCTTCCTTTTCTGGTTTAAAACTGGCTTCTCTGGCTTGAGCTGAAGCCAGGAAATTCCTTCCTTCTCTGGCTTTAAAACTGGCTTCTCTGGCTTGAGCTGAGGCCAGGCCAGGAAATTCCTTCCTTCTCTGGCTTTAAAACTGGCTTCTCTGGCTTGAGCCGAGGCCAGGAAATTCCTTCCTTCTCTGGCTTTAAAACTGGCTTCTCTGGCTTGAGCTGAGGCCAGGAAATTCCTTCCTTCTCTGGTTTAAAACTGGCTTCTCTGGCTTGAGCTGAGGCCAGGAAATTCCTTCCTTCTCTGGTTTAAAACTGGCTTCTCTGGCTTGAGCCGAGGCCAGGAAATTCCTTCCTTCTCTGGTTTAAAACTGGCTTCTCTGGCTTGAGTAGGTCAGGAAATTCCTTCCTTCTCTGGTTTAAAACTGGCTTCTCTGGCTTGAGCCGAGGCCAGGGACCAGAAGCAGGGAAAATCTGAATCATTTCCAACTCACTTCCCGAGTCATAACAAAAATGGTGGAAAAAGCTTCGGAGGGGCAAAGCTTCAATATTGCTTCATAAAGGTAATTTTAACGAAATTATTACGAGCAACGAGTTATCCGAGCAACTCTATGCATGCCTAGAAGTCATCTCTACCAGATTGATCCCACTCTCTCTTTGTGATTTTCCCAAACAGTGGAATACAAGGAGACTTTGCGGCACTTGGCTTCAGTGTATGCCAACAACCATCCCACGATGCACCTGGGCCAGCCGGGCTGCCCCAACAAATCAGGTGGGGGACATTTTCCAAGACCGTTCAGTTGTGTTGTTTGTGGATTTGTCGAAAGTGCTTCTCATTCCCATCTTTTTTTCTTCTTCTTTACAGACGAAAATATTCCCGGTGGGGTGTTGTTAGGGGCTGAATGGTACAGTCACCTGGGCAGCATGAAGGTATTTTGGAGCCGTTTTTGGAGAGTTCCCTTTGGTGTTTGGCGCTCTGTTCTCTGAGTCCTCAAAACAAGCTGAGGGCTGGTCCAAAGTCCCTTAGACTATGTGCTAGACCAGGCATGGGCAAACTTTGGCCCTCCAGGTGTTTTGGACTCCAACTCCCACAATTCCTAACAGTCCAAAACACCTGGAGGGCCGAAGTTTGGTCATGCCTGGTTAAACGG